CGTCCAGCCCCTTCCCCGAGTATCGTGTTCTGGGTGAAGTCACAGCCGTGCAGGTGCCTGTACACAGTGGGGAGAGCCCGGGGAGCACCAGCCTCTGTGTTCTTCACTCTCAGCCCCCTCAGCCTCCAGCCCCCAGAGCTCCACAAGGGCACCTGGCCCCTCGTGTCCCTGGCAGTGTGTGCACGATGTTCAGGACACAGCCACCTGGGGAACTGCCAGGGTAAGGGACCCGCTCACGTGGTTCCTCCCCAGACTGAGGCTCCTCATTCATTCATTCATTCATTCCACAATTATTTATGGAGCACCCCCTGCATACCAGGCACTAGGCTAGGCACTGGGTCTACTTCTGTCAGCAAAGCAGAGCAAATCCTTTCCCTTATAAAGCTGACATTCTAGTGAGGGGGACAGTGAGCAAATGAATCAGTAGTAAGTAGCTGATTACAAATGCCGTGAGAAACTTAGTCAAGCAGAAGAAAAGGAACAGGGCATCCTGGGGGTGAGGAGGGGTGGGCAGCAAGCAGCACTAATCATGCTGCATTTTGCAAAGGGAGGTAGGGAAGGCCACTCTGATAAGGTGACATTTGTGACAGAAAGCTGAGGAAGTAGGGAGCCAGCCTAGCAGGGCAGGAGAACTCTGGGCAAGGAGAAGAGCGAGTGCAAAGGCCCTGAGGCAGGAGCCCAAAGCGAAATCCTGACATTCTTCTGGTCAGGATGATCCCTGGGTTTCCAGGGTCTCTTTCTTCCTCCCTCCCCATCACTGTGTAGGAAATATCCGACTGATTTCAAATATTTCAGTTCCCTGAAATGGGATCAAGAGCTGCTTAGGGGTGGTCTGTTATGTATCCATTCAGAAACTTCCTATTGAGTACTTATTCTGCGCCCGCACTGAGCACACAGCTGTTCCAGGACAGCATCAGTGTCCAGGCAGAGGTACACATGGTACAGTTTCACCAGGTGCCAAATGGCTGAGTGTTCAGATTTGGCTGAAGCCAAATTCCACCATCACAGAATAAGTTTCTGGGATATGAGAGTATATTGGAAATGTATCAAGGAGATATGCATTTACATTAGAATTTCACTAGTTGACATGTTAGCAGTCAAGTTTTATAAGTAAACGTGATATGGGAACGCAATCTCTCAGCATTGTCAGTGGCTGGCAGTGCTCCTGGGGCTTCGTGCTGCACAGCGCCTCCTGAGCCGGCCTCACGTCCTAAACAGGTGAACCGCTCCTGTGCCTCCAGGTCCGTGATGAGGCCGTGCCCGCCTCGGCCGGAACAGAGGGTGTTTGAGTATTGCCTTCCTTCCCAAGGGTGGAGGGCTCACGTGGTCCCTATGGAAAGTCGAATAGTCTCGACACCTGGAACCTGGGAATGTGACCTGGTTTGGAAAAAGGGTCTTTGCAGACTTGCTCGAGTTAAAGATCTTGAGATGAGATCATTTGGCTTATCCGGGTGGGCCCTAAATCCAATGACTAGTGTCTAATAAGAGACTGAAGAGAAGACGACACAGGTAGAAGAGGAGGCCGTGTGAAGACGGAGGCAGAGACTGGAGAGATGCTGTCACAAGCCGAGGAATGCTGCAGCCAGCAGAGGCTGGATGACGCAAAGCAGGGCTCTCCCTACAGCCTCTGGAGGGCGCTGTCAACTTCTTGATTTCGGACTTCTGGTCTCCAGAACTGTGAGAATAAATGTCTGTTGCTTTAAGTCACCAGATTTGTGGCAACTTGTTTCAGCAACCCTGGGAAACTAACACAGCCCCCCAAAGGTGGACCCCCCTGTACTGTGGGAACCCCAGTACTGACCATCGAGGAAGTTAGGGCTGAGGCTACTTTTCCTTCTGGGAACACGGGTCTGGACCACCCAGTGGCCCCTCTGGGGCCAGCCTCTGCAGCCAGGCCAGTTCCTCATTCACTCAATTGTTCATTCAACAAAAATGCCTTGAACATCAGCTAAACGCCAGGTCTAGGCAGCAGGGAGAACTGTGGCAGACAGACCAGGCAGGGCTGTGTGGCTGCACAGCTTCCGTCCTAGTGAGGGAGGGGGAAAGGTAGTGAGTAAATGAAGAAATCAACGTGATACCACACTGGACGATCATCGCAGGAAATAAACGGGGTTCAGTGATGGAGACTAAGAAGGGTGGCCCCTAGGAAGTGTGACCAGGGGCCGCCTCTCTAAGGAGGTGACATTGAGCTGAAAATGATGAGGCCGGGCAGGCCGTGAGAAGAACTGGGGAAAGAGTGTTTCATGAGGGGAGCGCAGGTGCTAGGCCCCCCAGGGGAAAGGGCATGGTGGCTGGAGCAGGAGGCCCAGCTCTTGTGGAGGCTACAGCCTCACAGGAAACAAAGGCCGTGAAGCAGATCAATGACAACGCAGGTGCACGTGATTAAGTACAGAAATGAGCCTTGCAGGTGGCAGGGGGAGGGCTCAGGCAGGCCGGGAGTAGACGGGACGGCTTCTAGCAGAGATGTGGCTGAAGCTCATCCTTGAAGACTGAGAAGGGAGTGGGGGTGGCCTTCGAGGAGATGGAGAGAGCAAACACAGCACTGAGGAGGCAGGGAGCAGCACGTGGGTTGCCCACCCCACTCTGGCCTGCGGACACCCAGTGTTTGCTCTGAGAACGCACCCCGACAATACTTGTGGGAGCCCCACGAGCTGCTCCTAGGAGCAGGCACTGGTGGGCCTCAGAGGGCAAGGGAGGCCGCAGGCTCCCTGTCCTGCTGTGTGCACCTTGCTGCTGGGGCTCGTTATTCCCAGGCCTCCCCTGGCTCTGCTCTCCTGGAGCAGGAAGCATTTTCCAGGACAGGAATCAGCCACGGGAGGACAAGGGCCTGCTCTGGGGCGGGCAGTACTTCCAGATCCCGGCCCTGACGTGGAAAAAATCCCTGGATGCCCCACATGAGCCATCCCCTCAAGGAACCCGTCATCTACTGAGGGAGCTGGACAAGCGACATTAGAGTGTGCACCTCCCGAGGGCCTGGTGTGCATCTGGTTTAAAGCTGAGGCCCCATGGCATTGCCATGTGCATATGGCCAAGTGTCCTGGCTGTAGCTAAGGAAATGAAAACACACACCTGTGTTGCTAAGACAACCTGCAGCCCCTCCCTGCCTTGACCTGAGATGAGCGGGAAGCTGTGAGGTCTGTGTGCTGTGGGGTGACCTTCAGGTGGAGTTAATAGAAGCCTTTGATGGTAGGTTGTGCTTTTGTTTGCAATTACTTGCTGCCTCTCCCGGTAAGAGGATTATGCTTCTCCACCCCCTTGACATCAGGCTTGGCTGGATGACTTGCTCTGGCCAGGGAAATGTGAGCCTAAGTGACGTGTGCCCCTTCTGAGCAGAAGCTCTAGGAGCCGCTGTGTGGTTTCCCTCTTCCTACTGCAGACAGGGGCCGCTCCTTCAGTCTGACCCCAAGCAAAGGTCACCCACTGCGCACATGTAGCATGAGTGAGAAATAAATATTTGTGGTTACAACATTCTGAGACTTGGGAATTTTGTTACAGCAGCATTACCTAGAATAAGCTGACTGATACAACCCTATGCGGAATAGGCAGTTCAGCCAGAATGAGGGTGGTGAGAATGCCTTTCTGGAAAAGTCTGTAGCTGTGAACCGTCCCCTTCCCCCTTAACCAGAGGGAGGCATGTTAAGGAGCCCTCACTGTACCCGCCTTGCCACAGACAGGGCTCCTTCAGGGGGACTGAGGATGAGGCACCCTTTCCTCAGATCCCAGAGCCATGAGCAGCTCGTGGGGCTCTGCCCTTAAAGGGCTGATGGTGTAAGGCAGGGAGTAGGGGCAGGCTGGCCTGTCACTGGCAGACGACAGTCACAGCAAGGACAGGCCTGCCCCTAATGAGCCCGCCTGAGCCGCCTAGGCCAACGCAGCTGTGACTCTCTCGGGGCTGGAAGAGGAGACATCCTTCACCAGCCCAGTTCCTGCCTCGCCCAGTTCCTGCCTCCCCCCATATGCATGCACTCGCACACAGACGTGCACGTGCACAGCCGCGAACCCACTGCCAACTGCACCCAGATGGGTGAGTTGGGAAGGCGGGGTGTGTTTGAGTCCTGGACTGACAGCCTTCACGTGACGCCCCGAAGGTCACACAGCTGAGTGGCAAGTGAAACTTTCAGCTGCACCTCACAAATCACATTTGGGGGGAACAATTTTCTTTAGAGTCACGTTGAAAAGAAAATAATAATTTTCAGATAAAACATCACAAAGACTAGTGAAAAAAAGGTAGAGAATATGAACAAGAATCTTTGTCCCTTTGACCAAAATCTTAAGGTTTAAAGGGAGAACAGTCCCGTGGAAGTAAATGGAGGCTAATGGACTGAAAAATCCTTCTGTTTCTAGCAAACTTCCTTCTCCCTAGCTCTGTCAGCTCTGTGTGACTAACACGTTGTGCAGGAAACCGCCTTCCACCACAGGAGGGGGAGGTGTGCACATACACACACACAAACGTGCACACACACACACTAAACCCCAGAAAATAGGAAGCCTCCCATTGCAGCAAAAAATGAACAAGCGAGGAATGTATTTGCTGAAACACTCAACTAAGAGAAGATAGAATTCTAAGAGAATTCAAGAATTTTAGTTTTCTACTTACATGAATCTAAGTTCTTGGGTAAAGCATTCCAAATTTGTGTCTGCCTTTTAAGTCCTCCGTGGCTGTTTTGTGTGATTGCACACATTTCTGGCCGGTATGCCTGAGTTACCTTTCGACACACTGAAACTTTCCTACCCCGTGAGAACCTTGACTTCTCATCTAACCACATAGGCTAAAGCGGAGGCTTGCGGATGGCTTGTCAAGTTCAGCCTGGTGCCAGAGCGATGGAGCGTGTGACCAAGACAAGAAAACATTCAAGGCTTCCGGGGTCTGGTGAGGCCAGATCAAGAGCTGGGGGCTCAGAAAAGCAGAGCCCCCAGAGGGTGGATCCAGCCTCACTATCTGTACCACCAAGAACCAGAGACAGGGCCGGCTTCATGGGGCTGCAGCCCGTGCAGTCATACCAGGCCCTGGACTTACCAGGGCCCCGTACTTGATTTAATGCTCCGTTGTTGCCATCTTAAAATTCCTAATAATTCTGGAACCAGGGCATTTTCATTTTGCACTGGGCCCTGCAAGTAGCTGGTCTTGTCCAGAGAAAGCCTCGTCACGCCTGAACCGCATGGGACTGCCCATGCTGGCCACAGGACATTGGCTATTCATAAAGGGGACGACCAGCTCTGAAAACCTAGATGGAAATTAGCCCAGACTGGCGCGGCTGTCGGGGCTATGCTGTGGTTTAGAGAAGGGCAGGCCTGTCAGCTGTGGGTGAGTAAAGAAAAGGGCGTTGTCTTCACATGGAACAGAAACGGGGACTACACATTCAGCTGTATGTTATGAGGATGAACTTCAGCAAGTTTTCAGCACCATAATCGACTGACCACATGATGCCCTGGCCTCAGCTTCTCTTGTTTTCTGACCAGGTCTGAGGACAATACCAAGAGGCTAAAGAAGGAAGCAGACAAGTGCCAAGAAGAGCAGAAGAGGGAGACGGGGTGAGCGGACCCTCGGGGAGGAGGCTCCAGCCTCAGGCCCAGCAGCAGCGGGAGAGACCGCCCAGCGGGACGGGGCCATGTGGCTGCCATCAGTTCTGCTGCTTCTCTGTGTCCCAGGTGAGCAGGGCTGCGCCTGGACGGGGGAAGTCTGCTGGCAGGTCAGGGTGAGGAAGAGTGAGGAAGCGTGGTGATGCGAAGGGGAAGAAATAAAGACATAAGGAAAAAGGGGATGAGGTCTGCATATGAAAACCCTCACGTAGCTCATCAAATTTCCTCATCGGGATAGAACGAGGATTAGAGGGTAACATGCTTCCCATGCAGTGAGCACATACTGATCCCTAAATAAATTTGGTCATTTTAATCATTATTAGCATCATTGTTAAAATCAGAAACACCGTCTTGATTCACCAGAGAGCAGCGAGGGGAGCAGAGAACTGATACTAATTGGGCTCATCACTGGGCTACCTGATTTTCCCTCCTGATCTAATCCAATCCTCATCACGATCCTTATTAAAACCAGAGTCTGAGACTCAGAGAGGTGCAAATAACTAAGATCAGTTCATAAAACACAAAGATTCAAACCAAAACACTTTATTTCCAAAGACGTCACTCATTTTATAATATGACGCCAATTACTGCTAAGCCATCTGTGAATATCCATTCGTGTATCCCCCACCCACTGTGGGGGCCCTAGGCCTCGTGGCAGGTCTGGCTGCAGGTGGGGCTCTGCGCTGTGGGCCCCTGGAGGCCAGGCTGCTGGGAATTTGTGGTCAGTCCTGGTCTGAGAGTTTCCGTAAATGGTGGTGGAAGGAGAAAGTCAAAGGTTCTTTTTGAGGCCCCATGGGCAGGGGGCTTGCTCTGGGGGTGAGGTGGAGTGGGCTGGGAGGACGCCCGTGCTGGGTCTGGTGGAGGATCAGAGGAGAGGGACGCTCTGGGTGTAACTCAGAGTGTCCCTCATGTGTTTTCCACCCAGACCTGAGGAAGCAGCCCCCAGACCTTCAAGGGTCGGGCTTAAGCAACTGAAGGTGTAGGCTAAGTCAGTGTCCTACCCTGAAGGGCACCTCTCCCTCAGACCCCCACCACCCCCACCCCTGCCTTGGAATCAGAGAACAGCGTCCCCAGAGCCTGAGCCCAGAACAGCGATTGCAGAGAAGGCTCAGTGCTGCTGTCCCCTCTCCGCCCAAGCCCCACGGACCTGTCTGGAGATCCTCCAGCTGAGGCCTTTTGCCCCCTCAAGCAAGGTTCCTCAACCTCGGCAGTGTTGACACTGGGGCTGGATCATTCTGCGGGTGGCTGTCCTGTGCACTGTAGGATGTTCAGCAGCATCCCCGGCCTCTATCCACTTGGTGCCAACAGCAACTCCCCACCCCTCCAAGTTGTGACAGCCAAAAATGTCCTCAAACATTGCCAAATGTCCCCTGGGGTGGGGGCGGTCAACATGACCCCTGGTTGAGAAGCACTGCGGCAGGGAACGTTGGTGGGAGAGGCGGCCGGCGCTCTGACCGTGAATAGAGGCCAGTGGGCTGCGTGAGCATGCCTGTGTGGAAATAAAGTGAGAAAATCAATATATTTAAAATGAAGAAGCAGGGCCGGCCCCGTGGCTTAGCGGTTGAGTGCGCGTGCTCCGCTACTGGCGGCCCGGGTTCGGATCCCGGGCGCGCACAGATGCACCGCTTCTCCGGCCATGCTGAGGCCACGTCCCACATGTAGCAACTAGAAGGATGTGCAGCTATGACATACAACTATCTACTGGGGCTTTGGGGAGACAAAAAAGGAGGAGGATTGGCAATAGATGTTAGCTCAGAGCCGGTCTTCCTCAGCAAAAAAAGAGGAAGATTAGCATGGATGTTAGCTCAGGGCTGACCTTCCTCACAAAAAATAAATAAATAAATAAATAAATAAACAAATAAATAAATAAAATAAAAATAAAATGAAGACGCAAAAACTACAACTTTTCTTTTAATTTTAGGAAAAAAATAGCAAAAGTCTCACATCTTGTGGATGACAATATACTGCCTGGATGGCTGGATGGGTGGCGGGAAGGAGAGAGAGATGGATGGGTGGGCCGATGGACAGACAGAGAGACAGATAGATGACAGGTAGATTATATACCCAATATTTTTTCAGAAGTTTGGTATTTGCCCAAACCATTTCTCCATAGCCCTTTGCCCTGGGTTAACCCCTTCCTGTCAAGAGCAGATCAGGCAGCAGCTGTTGCTTGGAGAAATGACGACCCCTCGGGTGTCTAGGGCCAGCATGGCTCTCCATGCAGGAAGCAGAGAGTGTAGGGGCTGGATCCTAATTATTTGGAATGGAGCCTTCAGAGTGACTGGGGAAGTGAGGAAACGTCAAAAACATGGAGATGAGGCCCAGGGCATGCCAAGGCTGGTGGGGGGCTGCTGAGGAGTGAGAGAGGGAAGAACATCTGGTGAGTCATCAGTGTGGAGGTGTTAGGTGACAGCAAGTGTTGCTGCAGGATTCTGTCCCAGGAGGGAAATCAAAGTGTGATTGTCCTTGAATCATGGCCCCTTCCTAAATGGCCTCTTTCTACCTCCCAGCCAATGCCCATCTCCTGTGTGACCCAGACCTATGAGCCAGAGGTTCCATCTACACAAGTGGGGATTATAAGCTTGGGACCCACAGATGTGCTTCTGGGATGGGGGCATAGCCAGAAGTTAAAGGCTTCCTCCTGGGAGGGATGCTGTCAATACTGGGCTTTATCTAGTTTTTCTTGGTTCCCATCCTTATTTCCTGTTTCCTATTCCAACTGTGTGTCCATCTATCCATCCATCCATCTATTTATTCAGAGTATACTCAGTGGCTTCATTCAGTTCTTGGTGATTGATGGGGACAGGTGTCTCCTCTCAGGACTGATACTTCTGGGGACCCAGAAGCTGTCTGGGGCCACCAAAGTCTTCCTCCCCTGCTCACATTCTGAGTTGACTGAGCACACACAGGGTGGGCATGACCTTTCGAGTCTCATAATCCCACACCAGGCATCTCCTTAGATCTCCCCCCATGTCTGCAAACTGCCCAGACCTCTCTGGTTCCTGACCCCTCCTTCCTCTGGCCTCAGGGTGACTTCTGGGCTTCCAGAGGACCTGACACCCAAGGACCCTCTGGTCCAGGCTCTTCAGGGTGAACAAGGCTGACTGTATTTTCCAGGCTCTTTGTCTCTGAGTGGCCCCAGCAACGTGATGGGCACTGTGGGGGGATCCCTGAGCGTGCAGTGTCGGTACGAGGAGGAATACAGGACGTTTACCAAATACTGGTGCAGACAACCATGCTTGCCACTTTGGCAGCAGATTGTGGAGACCACAGAGTCTGAGACAGAGGTGAGGAGCGGCCGGGTGTCCATCATGGACCACACTGAGGACCTCACCTTCACCGTGACCTTGGAGAACCTCACTGCAGACGACACAGGAAAGTACAGGTGTGGGATTGCAACGATACTGCGGGAGAAAGGACTCCAGGGCTTCCTGCCTGATCCTTTTTTCCAGGTTCAAGTGTTTGTTTTCCCAGGTAAGACCTTCCTTTTCTCTGGTACCAGTGGTGAAGGAATCTGAGCGAATCTCTGCAGAGCATCCAAGGAAATTTCGACTTGGGAGAGAACTGGGCCCTGTGTTTGTGCATCAGAGATTCAGGACCAAGTGTGTTGTGTGAATGTGAGTGTGTGGGAGATGTGCATGAGTGTGTGAAAGTGTGAGTGTGTGAGGAAAGTGTGTGTGAAAATGTGTAAGTGGGAGTGTGTGTCAAGTGTGTGAGCGTGTGACTGTATGTGTGTGGGTGTGTAAGAGTGAGCCTGTAAGAGTGTGAGTGTGTGTGGGTGTGTGAGGGAGAGAGTGTGTGTGAGTGTGTAAGGGTGAGTATGTGAGGGTGTGAGTGAGAGCGTGTGTGTGACAGCCAAGGTTCCTGCCGCCGCCCTGGGTCCTGACAGTGTTTGTGGGCCTCAAGGTGTCTGAGGCTGGTGTAGGGAGGGAGGGCCCTGTGTCACAGGATCTATCAGGACTGAGGGGCTCGTGCCACCTTCCTGTCCTGTGTGTGGGAGGGTCTACTCCAAAGGGACTCCCTTCTCACTCTCCCTTGGCTCGAACTCTTTCAACAACCCAGGGCCCAGGGCCTCACCCAGGGTCAGGAGAAGGTCCCTGAGACGGTCCAGGCTCAGGGATGGCCCAGACCACCAGCCTCATCCCTCTGACCAGGTGAATCCTGCTCCAGAAATCCAAGATCCAGCCCCAACTCTCCCACTGGCCTCTGTAGCAAACCCCCTTTGGGCCTTCCCTCAGCCTCTGACACCTGTGCTGGCCCTAGGGGGTAAAAACCCCATTTCTGCATTTTCTGGAGGCCCTGGCCCCAGGGCTGTGGGTCAAGGGGGTTTGTTTGAGGGCATGGGAAAGACCAAGAGGGAGCCCCCAACCCTCTGACCGGTCTTGATCTGTCTGTGTCTGTCTGTCTGTGTCTCTGTCTGGCATCATCTCTGGCCCCCAAGCCTCCTCCTGCTTCTGCCCCTTCTCCCTCTGACATTCTTGATAGGGCAGGAGGGAGCCCGGTAAACCCCTAGCCCTGACAGGGCAGAAGTGGGATGGGACACCTCTAACACATTTTTCTTTTCAAATGCAAACATATATATAGGCTTGTTCTTGTTTCATGAGAGCTACATCCTCCCTTAGCAATCCAAGGATATTCATTTTTTTTTCCTTCTGCTTCGTGCATTGTCTCATCTTCCTCTGAGTTTCTTTTTTCTGTTTGTGTTGGTTTCTCTCTTTCATGTTGGAGGCTTTCCTTGAAAGGTCTTCACCCACGTGCATTTAAGAATGCGGCCCTAAGAAACTGGTTGTGAGCTCCGCGGTGAGGGACGTGCTTGTGGAGGGCTGGAGGAGAGCCTCGCCCTCAAGAGACTGCCCAGAGACTCAGCAGTTCTCCCCCGGGTCCCTGAGTGTCTGTCTCTGTCTGTCTTTCCTCCTGGTTGGCCATTGACCCAGTGAGGATTCTCCAGTCTCCTGCCTGAGGGAACACAGGTGAGGCTGCCAACGTTTGAGGAGATGCGTGGGCTAAGGGGGCTGGGATCCCACTTTCTGGAGTGCAGATTCCACCCCCCGTCCCTGTTTGGGGATGGTGGCGTTCTCCAGCCCTCAGCTGTGTGACGTGTTCTTGCTTTCAAACTTCCCTGAATCAACCTCTACAGTCTTCTGCCAGGGTGGACAAGGTGTGGGTGGGGGGTGTGGGGTGGGCACACTGGCTAGGGGGTGGGACCTGAGGTCTAACTCTTGTGCTGACCTTCAAGCACTCCTGTTCTCAGCGAGGTGAGGAACACCGAAATGTTTAATGGCAGAAAGCGAGGACTCTCTGATCCTGGTTTGTAATGTGTCCACCCGGCTGCAGAGCAGATGGGGCTGGGGTTGGTGGGGACACTCCTTCACCCTGGTCAGGCCTTGGTCTGACTATGGGGAGATGATGACTCCAGAACACCTGTCCAGCCTCTTCCCTGAGATCCCTCTGCTTTGTGAAGTCAGAACCATGCAGGTGACAGGTACCTAGCTAGCGGGAGCCGTGGACAGGGCACCGGGCCTCACTCTCAGCTTCCTCCATAGCCTCCAGCAGCAAAAGCTCTACGTGGACACCTGGACGTTCCAGCCAACAACAAGGGTAAGGTGCCTGTGTCCCAGTGTCTTCTACCACCCGCCTGGCTTCTTCCCTAGAGTAGGCTTCCTAGACACAGGTTTCTTCAATCATTCACTCACTCAACAAATATTTAATTTACTTGCTATGTGCCAGGAACTGATCCAAATGCTAGGGATGTCACAGTAAATAAACAGGCAAGGTTGTGCTCTCAAGGAAGTTCCTTTCAAATGAGTGAATTTAGACAAGGGCAAGATGGATTAGACAGATAGATGATAGATAGATAAATAGATGGATGGATAGATAGATAGAGAGAGAGATAATAGATAGATGATAGGGATGGATAGATAGATATATGATAGGGATGGTTAGATGGTAGAGAGATACATAGATTGATGCATAGATAGGAATAGGTAGATGATAGTTGATAGCAATAGATAGATTGAGATATATGATAGGATGGACAGATAGATAATAGAGATAGACAGATGATAGATAGACAGATGATAGACAGACAGAGGAAATGTCTGTTAATGACGATTCCTACTGAGGAAAATGAAGGAGGTGTTAAAGGAGAGGTGACAGGGGCTGTGGGAAGACAGTGGGGCATGACGAAGGCTATCGAGATGCTCAGTGAAAACAAATAACAAAGAGACTTAGTTTCCTCAAAATCAGCTCCTGAGACAAGGATTTAGGTGCAATTAGTTTACGGAGAGGTGATCCCAGGAGATGTAGTGAGGGAGCGGGAAGCAGGGAAAGCCAACGAAATGTAGATGAACGAGAGCTCACCACTGGAGCAGCTGGGCTCAGTCCCGCCAGGCACCCTCGGAATGAATGAGTAGGACACTGCCGAGAATTGTCCCACTGAGAGGTGAGGAAGCTGGGGCAGTGATCCACACACATCTGTCCCTCATGGTGTGGGAAGATGGCAGGGTTTGCAGAGTGATGACGGAAGGCCTCTCAAATAAAGTGACATTTGAACAGAGACCTGAAGGAAGTAGGATCAACCAAGCAAGAATCTGGAGAAAGAGTGTTTCTGGGTCACTCCTGGGGGCGTGAATTCTGTAGCACTTCCAGCCTGCTCTGCTCAGCCAGCCATGCACACTCCTGTAGCTAGAGACAGCCCTCAGGTAAAGAGATGCAGGAGCTGGACGCGGGAAACCCTGTCGGGGCCAAGACTGTCCACGGCTGCCAGGAGCTCAAGTGAGCAAAGAGGATACGGGGAGAGAACCAGCAGGGTTTGCTACAGGGGCCCGATGTAATCTTGGAGGGCCAGGGAAGGCATCAGCCAAACCCTCAGGCTGCTAGCCAGGCAGAGGGTTGGGGAGGGGGAGAGATTAAACAAAGGTCCAGTGTTGGGAGAGGACACAACATATGTGAGGAGCTGGAATGGAGGCAGGTACTGGGACCCAGGGGGTGAGAGGATTGGCCATGAGCTGAGTTTGGAATGCTCACTCCTTGCCTTTGAGATCGTTGAACGGTTTAAGCAGAAGAGCTGCTCCCATGATCATATTTAAGGCAGAGTCAAGACTTTAATTTGAATGAGGAGTGGTTATAAGGGGACATTTTATCCTTGAAGTTGGTCCCAGCAAGAGCTGAGTTCCTGTGAGTGTTGATGGCTGAGGGATCAACACATGGGTTCAGAGAGCTGTTTCTGGTTGCTGGGGCCTGGCTGGGTGCCTACATCTCTCTTCCTCTCCGTTCCTCGCCCCCACATCCTCATACATCTGCCAGGTCCTGACACTCCAGGTCAATTCTTGAGTTGAAGGACAGAGTGTGCGGCCCTCAGCATGGGGCTGTCTGGCCCTGGTACCAATCAGGTTTGATGCTGATATTGAGTTTTGAAGACACAGGACTTGAGCTCAAAGGAAAAGGGGGGAGAGGCAGAGCCCGGGCCTTCCGTTGAGAAGGAAGCTCCCTGTCAGTCACCATGTCCCTCTCATAGGTCCCTGCTCAGCAGCGTCCACTTCCTGCTCCTCATATTCCTGAAGGTGCCCCTGCTCCTGATAATGCTCAGCGCCGTCCTCTGGGTGAACAGGCCTCAGAGGGTAATTTGTGGAGAAACAGAGCCAGCCTGACCAAGACAACCTGCGGCCATCCTTGCCCATCCACATCCTGTCCAGAGACACAGCTGCGCAGACTAGAGAAGAAGGAATTTCAGACCCTGAACCTTATATCTTTTTTCACCTTATTGCCAGAGACTTTAAAAACAAACTGTAAAAAATATTTTAATGAAATATATCACATACAAAAAAGCCTATATATAATGTATACGTACAGTTCAAGGACTAAAAATAAACATGAGTATCCACCATTCAGCCTAAGAAATCAAACATTACTAGGACCTTTAAAGCCCCCATATGCCTCTCCCTGATCTCAAATCCCTCCTTCTCCTACTCCCAGAGTCAACCACGGTCTTGATTTCCTTGTGATAACCATTCCCCTGTTTTTCTTTAGGGCTCTCATCAAGGGCATCATTGTTTCTGAATCTTGCACAAAGGAAATCACAGTGTTTCAAGCTCACCCATTCATGAACCATACTGGATTTTCCCTCCTCTATCAGCAGGTTGTAGGGAACTCCCTACAAGGCTGTAGGTGTGAGAGCTAAGGGAGCAGCACAGGACATCGAGTGACTACGTGGCTGGAGCTACTGATCGGGAGCCTGGTGACGTAGCATCCACCAGTTGTAAGGCTGGTCAGGCGTGTCGTCCACTTCAGCACAGCAGCAAATTAGGGGCTGCTCGGGGCGGGCCGGGTGGCGCAAGCGGTTAAGTGCACGCACTCCGCTGCGGCGGCCCGGGGTTCACCGGTTCGGATCCCGGGCGTGCACAGACGCACTGCTTGTCAAACCATGCTGTGGCGGCATCCCATATAAAGCAGAGGAAGATGGGCACGGATGTTAGCCCAGGGCCAGTCTTCCTCAGCAAAAAGAGGAGGATTGGCAGATGTTAGCTCAGGGCTGATCTCCTCACACACACACACACACACACACACACACACACAAAAATTAGGGGCTGCTCATTAAATGAGTAGTTTTATCTGGTGCAGGTGGTAAGCCTTTGCTCCAGGATCCTAGTGGTCTCCTGTTGGGGCTTGCCAGAGACACCACAGGGCATCCTTCTTCCACAGAGACTTCTAGCACCGTGGAACCAACCAGGTCATACAGCACCAAATTACAGGGCCACTTTTACCTCAGCCTGGGTCTGCTGGAGAGGCCCCTCTTGCTCTGGGCACTGCTGAAAACTGGCAGCTTTTCAAGTCACCCAATAAGTGAGTCTGAGCAGTATTCCCAGGTGTGGAATGTGACAGCCCCAAAATTCAAGCCCACCAAGCTGTGTGATTTTTCTTAGAGGTTTGAGACACAAGACAAAATAACTCATCCCAGACAATAGACTCCTAAAACTTGTATCTATGAGATAGGCCCCTGAAACTCAGTAGGGTTTACTTCCCTCCTTCTGGTGCAGATGTGTTGTATCAGGGCGTCTAGAGTACTTGCTTCTTCCTGCTCTTCCTACCATCAACCAAGTGAGCCAGCATGGTGTTCCGTGGAGTGTCTAATGGAAGTCTCTTTGGACTGCATTGTGACAGTTCGGAAATGTTGCCATGATCCTGGTTGACTATGAATGTGTGTTGTTATCTTCCCAAGTAAATGTGAACTACTTCTGATCCTCCGTCTTTACAGGGATTGAAAATGCAAGGGATGCATTTGCCATACCAATAGTAGCACACCAAGTACCAGAGGCTGTTCTCATAAAGATAGTACACTGACAAGAACAATCGCCATTGGGCTATCAATTGGATAAATTTAAGTTGGTCCACTGTTATATGATAAACCTCATCTGAATTTTTCAGGCATTGGGCTAGTGAATTAAGTAGATGTCTTAAAATGTACCTAGGATTTGTTTTAAAAGGGTATGGTAAGATATGCAGACATGGAAATACTGTAATGAGAGAAGAAGTTTATACTCATAGATCCCTAGAAACAGGAGGCACGGCATACCACACAGGGCCACGTGAGGAAGCACCAGTGTGGGTCAGGAGGCAGAGGTAGAGAGAGGAACTGTGGGCCAGAGCCTTTATTGTGGTTTTTGTCGAAAGGGGTGGGTGAAGCAAGGTAAACAAACTGAGCAGTTTAGGATTGGATGGTTTGAATAATATCAGCAGGCTCTGGGCTACAGGGGTGGTCCCTAGTTGTCCGGTACCTGGCCCTGGGGTTATTTATGGCAGGGGAATAAAGTCCCAGACTGCAGGAGCCTGATAAAAGGAGACAAGGGAGAGTGTGGATTTGGCATTGGTTGGTTTGCATATCAAAGGCGTGGTTGCAAGCAAGTCATTTACTCTTGAGGAATTAGCTAAACCTAGGAAGGGCAGTCACTCCTTAGTCCACAAGGCCCCAAGATGTTAAAGCATTATAAAATATAGAAAAAAATTTTTAAAAACCCACATGATTAATTGATATTAATAATTAATAGTAATTAGTAGTAATAATTAATCAAGATTAATTAGTAGAGGTATGATGGGAACTCCCTACTCCCGCATCCGTTAAGTCTTGGAGCCGTGTCATTAATCTCCGCCATTTGCACTCAGAATATGGTATTGCTTATAACTTACCATCTGGATGGGGGGGAACACCGTTTCAGGGCTTTTCTACCATCATAGCCTTTACTCCATTGGACCAATGTGAGGGTTCTGCCTGCTCTTGAGAATATCTAACCCGATTATGCAATCATGGATCTGAGATACGGCCACAGGGTAAGTCCACAGAGTCATTAGACACACCGTAAGGCAGACTTGGGCCAGGCCACCGATTACAACCTGGTCTCCATTTCACACCAGAGTTGTCCTTTTAAAAGATCACTTTGCAATTGGACATCCATAGACAAAAAAATGAACTTTGACCAAAACCTCACACTTTGTACAAAAGTTAACGTGGAGCACGGACTTATATGTAAAACACGAAACAACGAAACTTTTAAAAAAAAATAGGAGAAAATCTTTGAGATCTAGGGCAAGACAAAGAGTTCTTCAACTTGACACCAAATCCATAAAATGAAAAACTGATAAATTGGACATTATCAAAATTAAAAACTTTGGCTTTGCAAAAACCCTGTGAAGAGGATGAAATGACAAGCTATAGACTGGGAAAAAATATTTGAAAAGCACATCTGACAAAAGACTTATATCTAGAATATCTTCATAGAACTCTCAATAGTCAACAGTAAAAACAATCAAACAATCCAATTAGAATATGGACAAAAGACCTTGGTTTCCCACCCCAGGCTCTCCCTCAGGTCCTGCCCTGGCTCTGGCTGCCCGGCAATGGCCTCTGAAGGTCCTTGAGGAGCTGACCCCCAGGGCGTCACTAATCCAGGCCCTTCTGATGAGGAGCTGGGACTCGACTGTGTTTTTCAGTCTCTTTGACTCTGAGTGGTCCTGGCACTGGGATGGGCACCATGGGGCGATCCCTGTGTGTGTGCAGTATGAGGAGGAATTCAAGGCAAATAGCAAATACCGGTGCAGAAACCCATGTTGGGCACTGCGGAAGAAGATTGTGGCAACAAAAAGACCAAAGAGAGAGTCAAGGAGTGGCTGCGTATCCATCAGAGACTACCTGAAGGACCTTCCCCAGTGACCATGGAGAACCCCACAGCAAAAGACAGACCAATACAGGTGTGGGACTGAACGTCACTGTGGGCAGAGGAATTGATCTTCCTGATCGATCCCATTTTCCATGTCACAGTGTCAGTATCCCCAGGTGAGACCCTCTCTTGCTCCAGCGCCAGGCCTGCCCTAAGCTGAAGCAGACACCTGCCAACCCCAGAGGCCAGTGCAGGGGGGCCAGGTCTATGTCAGTGACTTGGGACAGACTGCTTGTGTGTGTGCATTAGTGCATGTGTGGGCAGTGTGTGTGTGTATGAGCACACATGCATAGATGGATGCATGGGTGTGGCTCTGTTCGTGCATGCATTGATCCATGATTCATGCCTGGGCCCCAGGACCTGTTGAGGTCTCAGCCTCCTCCCTGCTTCCCCCGTCCCCCAGCCCCGCAGGAGGCTGTCAGGAGGGAACCTTGCCAAGTCCCTAAACCTCCCTCCAGAAAAGGGTGAGAGTGGGTCATGGACATCTTCCTATCATATTTTTAATCTCCAAATTCTGTTCTTCTCTAATTGTGCTTTTTTTTTTTTTTTAAATCAAATCCTGTTGTTTCTTGAAAGCAATAATTTATCTCATCCAGCTAAGGAAATTAAATGTTTTAAAACATTTTCTTCTTCTTCTTTCACTGTTAGCTTCCTCTGAGTTCCTTTCTTCTGTTGGTGTTGGTTTTTCTTTCACGTTAAGGGCTTCCTCACTTAGACGCTGATAAAAATCTCTGTGGAATGGGAGGGGCTTGTTGGTGTGTGTGCACTGGGAATGGGGGGCTCCCCACGTATCTGTCATTATCCCCAACCCCATCCCCACGAGGATTCTCCTGCCTCCTGCTGGCTGCCAATGTCTGGGTTGCTGAGAGTCTTGCCTCTCAGTGCACACACAACACGTAGCTTCCTGTTTTCCAACTGATGACTCACCCCAGCCATCTTCCATGTCTGGTGTCCCTGGGGTCTCAGGACCAACCTCTCCCCAGTGTAAATTACTCAAATATTCTGCCAGGGCAGGGGCAGCAGGTGGCTGCCCTGGCTGGGGATGGAAGCTGGAAGCTCTAACTGCTCTTTATATCAACTTTCGAGCACCCTTTTCCCCCGGGCTCAGTGTGACGAGATGCCCCGATGCATTTACTAGGATGGAACTGGGGCTGACTCTTGGAGTCTAGTCAGGGGGGCTTGGAATAGAGCTGAGGAAGAAGACTCCCCTGCTCCAGGTGCCTGGGGCTGGTGCAGGCAGACATTGGTTGCAGGCCCCTTCCAGCCCCTTCCCCGAGTGACCTCTTTTCTGTGCAGCCAGAACCAAGCAAGTGGCTGGTGCTTGGCTGTGGAGAACCGGGGAGAGCACGCCACAGGGCACCTGGAACTCCTAATTCCGTAGCAGAGAGCACCAGGCACAGCACGATGGCCAGCGGACCCCAAGGTAGGGGGCCTGCTTTTCTGTGACCTCACCCTCCTGAGTACACCTAGGTGTGGCTTCTCAACTCAAGCTTTCTTCATTTACAATTCCTCCAAAGAAAATTAAATGCCTAAGTATAAACTTAACAAACTATGTGCAGGATATGTCTGTTGAAAATTAC